CAGCTTCTAGCTGCACAGGTTGCTCCGCGTACTACAGTTGTACTACAAAATCGCCAGTTCTCAGCCTCCAGCTCCCCAGTCACTCCGCGTACTAAAGTTGTACTACACAGTCGCCAGTTCTCAGCGTCCAGCTCCAAAGGTTTCTCCGCGCACTAAAGTTGTACTACAAAGTCGCCAGTTCTCAGCTTCCAGCTCTACAGATTGCTCCCCGTACTAAAGTTGTACTAGAAAGTCGCCAGTTCTCAGCTTCCAGCTCTACAGATTGCTCCGCGTACTAAAGTTGTACTAAAAAGTTGCCAGTTCTCAGCTTCCAGCTCTACAGATTGCTCCGTGTACTAAAGTTGTACTAAAAAGTCGGCAGTTCTCAGCTTCCAGCTCCACAGATACTCCGCGTACTAAAGTTGTACTACAAAGTCGCCAGTTCTCATCGTCCACAGCTTCCAGCTCCCCGGATGCTGTGCCTGCCACGAAATCTGCACATGGAGGTTCACAAAGTGCTGTGCCACGAAATCTGCACATGGAGGTTCACAAAGTGCTGTGCCTGCGAAGAAATCTACACATGGAGGTGCACAAAGTGCTGTGCCTGCCACGAAATCTGCACATGGAGGTTCACAAAGTGCTGCGCCTGCCACGAAATCTGCACATGGAGGTTCACAAAGTGCTGTACCTGCCAGGAAATCTGCACGTAGAGGTTCACAAAGTGCTGCACCTGCCACAAAATCTGCACATGGAGGTGCACAAAGTGCTGTGCCTGCCACGAAATCTGCACAGGGAGGTTCACAAAATGCTGCACCTGCCACGAAATCTGCGCATGGAGGTTCCCAAAGTGCTGTGCCTGCCAGGAAATCTGCACATGGAGGTACACAAAGTGCTGCACTTGCCACGAAATCTGCACATGGAGGTCACAAAGTGCTGTGCTTGCCAGGAAATCTGCACATGGAGGTACACAAAGTGCTGCACCTGTTACGAAATCTGCACATACTCTGCACATGGAGGTTCCCAAAGTGCTGTGCCTGCCAGGAAATCTGCACATGGAGGTACACAAAGTGCTGCACCTGCCACGAAATCTGCACATGGAGGTTCACAAAGTGCTGCGCTTGCCAGGAAATCTGCACATGGAGGTACACAAAGTGCTGCGCCTGCCACGAAATCTGCACATGGAGGTTCACAAAGTGCTGCACCTGCCACGAATTCTTCACTTCAAGAAACAAGTGAAAACTCTAATCCCAATGGACGGACGATTCCGAGAATGATCCGAGCATGACCCGAGACCGTCTCGCAACCGTCGTTCCGCAGACCTTGACTTGCCAGCTTCGGAGCCACCGGTTCCATTGAAAAATACAGCATTTCGTGCCTTCGCTATCTCTCCACTACGCATTTTGTATTGCGCCTGCCACGACATCTGCACATGGAGGTGCACAAAGTGCTGTGCCTGCCACGAAATCTGCACATGGAGGTTCACAAAGTGCTGCACCTACCACGACATCTGCACATGGAGGTTCACAAAGTGCTGCACCTGCCACGAAATCTGCACATGGAGGTTCACAAAGTGCTGCACCTGCCACGAAATCTGCACCTGGAGCTGGAGTTGCCTGGAGCTTGAGCTGTTGAAACCAGAGCTGGTGTATGAGCGGTGTATGATGACTGGTGTATGATGAGTAGTGTATGATGAGTGGTGTATGATGAGTGGTGTATGATGAGTGGTGTATGATGAGTGGTGTATGATGAGTGGTGTGTGATGAGTGGTGTATGATGAGTGGTGTATGATGAGTGGTGGTCCAGTGGTTGAACAGCTGTTGAATGTCCGTAACACGGAAGTTTTGCACACTAAACTTCCTTTGATAATATATATATATATATACATGTATGTATGTACATGCATGAAGAAAGTTATAAAGTAGACAAGTTAGCAGTGTCGTGGCGGAAGTATGGGGAGAGGTCTATGGTGGAAGACAAGCAGGAAAGAAGGCACTGCTACCAGGGATTTACACTCCGACTCACTAACATGGAAGTGGAGAATGGCCTGTTTGTGAAAAGAAAATCGTCTTCGTGGGCCCATTTTCCACTTTCATGTTAGCGAGTCAGGCTGTCCCACAAGTGTTCGAAGGCCCGCGGCTTGCGAGGTGCGTCAAGCGAGTTGTGGAAGTTGATGGCAACTATGCCAACCGAAAGGTCGGTGAGGCCGCGGGCTTTTCTTTGAAGTTACTAGTAACAAGGGCATGGCTACTAGTAGCCTGCTCTCGGTCGGATGGCCCGCACTGGCTTTCGGGTCTCTGGGAGCCTCTGGAGCTCGGCTTGGTGCAAGGACAAGCCCGACAAAGCCGGCACGAATTTTCCTGAGAACAAGGCCAGCGCGCGATCGAAGCGTGACACCATGTGACACTATGCAAATGCAGCGCACTCAGCTCAAAAAGCAACAAAGAAACCATGTGACCAACCACACAGTTATGGACTATGGTCATCATTTCTGCAAACATGGGGTGATGACTCGTAAAACGTAAATGGAGATGATGCCCCAAGGAAGAGAAGTTAGACATCTCAGCGCCGGCACAGGTCTACCGTGGTGTTTGCTCCAACCACATTTGTGACATGAGCCCAGGCCGGGCTCATTTCGTGCGCTTGGATTGGAAGTAATTAGGTGATATGTTACTGTACTACGATATATTGATGTACATATATGTATATATAATATACATATATTTATAGTGTATACATTTAGCAATTTGGAATTACTCGGCCCCTCGCAGCTGTGTTCATGTTTGGCAGAGATTTCCTCGTTGGTCAGGCGATGAGGTCCTCATCACCGGTCCAACTGGTGCCGAGATGCTTCTGCCGAGACTCAGACCTGCTCGCTTTTTGTGAGACCTGTGAATGTTCTACAAGCGCGGAATTTATTTTTGAGTCCTACAATTCTCCACCTTTGACAAAAGCCTGCACATGTTCATTCTGACGGCTCTTGGCCGTAGCTGAAACATCCGGAAGCATTGTTCTGACATGTTCTGACTAATGCTTGACGGTCCTTCGGCCCCGTGTCGCCTTTCGTGGAACGCGCTTTGGTCGACTCAAAGCGACTTTCGGAATGCTCCCACTTTAACATTGGCGAGTGATAATTGTGTGCATGTAGCAACTAGGCACCCATACAAAGCTCCCATTGATGATGATCAGATCGTGCACCATGTGCCTGCCTGACACACCAATATTGGATCTCGGAGCAGTCTTCGTCCATTCTGGGCTACTTCACAGCTTGGCTGCGCAGTCCGAACTTGTTAACAAAAACCAATGTTTTCCTTCGCTTCAGGAACGGGTCAGGTTGCATTCAGATGACCGAACGGTTGGTTGCCTGCGTGGCGCGCTGGGCCCTCTTGGCCTCAGGGATCCAGTCGACCGGACCCGATTTGGTGATCCCCCATGCAGCTATATCCTCCTTCCAAATGGCTTAGGGAAGTCATGGGAAATCATGGCGCAAGCTGTTTTAAGTCTGTCAGCCGTACTTCAAGCACGCGATGCAGTTTGCAGTGCTAGCTTGGGCAGCGTGGGGCCATGGCACAGGTTGGGCAAATTCAGAAGGTTTCGTGAGTTTCTCCTTTCTGGTTTGGTTGAGAAATCAGCCTCAATCAACCAGCCAGCAGCTATAGGGCAGTTCTCACTTGTTGTCGCAATCATGCCTATGATGCAGACTGTGGCTGCCCAACTCAAGCCGTACTGCGGAGACATCCCTCACATTGCATGGCATTTTGATGCATCCTTTTGGGGATTCCAAGAGCACCGGACTCTCCAGCCAGGTGCTGGTCTTTGTGCAATCACGTTCTTTTGTTTTGGCGCGTCCGAGTCTGAATCTCCAAACCCATGGTGTTCTTTTACACATCCATCGAAGCACTGCTTCAAGGTCCAAGGCAACGCGTCCCATGTCAGGAAGCTGCTCCTCCTTTAAGCTTCCACGTCGGATGCACACATCCCTCATGTTTGCGAGTGTCACAAGTACCGCATGGGATGGCAGGTTGTGTGACAAGACTGCCCACTGATGGCAATATATGTCAAGACCTTCCATCGCGTGCCAGTGACATGTGCATGGATTGTGAGATTAACACTCACATCTTTTGTCAATTGTATTTTGTTAATTGTCTCGTTGGTGCTGCGCCTGATATTCAGGCCTGAAGATCCAGAGGCAAACATCATCATGCTTGCTACAGGCCAAGCCCCAAAATTGATCAGCATTTGGGGGGATTTGTTTGCATTCATGCTGCATATTCCCCTCGGAACTATTGGTTCAAATCCAAAACGACTGCTTTTGGCCGATACCTATCTAGAGTGCCATATGGGAATTGAGACAAGAGTTCTCAAAGGGGCATATTATGTTTACAGCATTGTGCCACATGCGAATGGAAGAAGTTCAAGTTCGGAAGCGTCAGACGTTTGGAGCCTCGTTTTGGGCACCAGGGACTGGCATTGCGCCGATGCGATCCTACTTGCGCTTGCTGTTCAATGATAAAGCTGGCGCACAACAGGCAGCTTAACGCAAATGCGTAAAACGACATCAGTCAGGGAGGGCCATGGCATGAAGCTCCCACAATGAGGTACAATGACTAATGAGGTACAGTATGCGGTATAATTAGTCAGGAATATCAATGTGGATTCAAGGTTCCAAGTCACTTGTGCAGCACAGGAACTTCTGGAAGGCCAAGATAGTCTTGCACGCAAATTTCCACTTGCAGACGTGTAAGCACTTGTTGAAAGGAAACACCTTCTGCAAGAAGAGCAGGAGATAGTGTCGGGGAGTGTACTAATGCCTTGGATAGTCTTGCTTGGGAAACTGGTTTCCAAAGATGTGCTGCTGAGCCTCTTCAGAGCTCATATCCTGAAGCTAGAGCAAGACCCTCCATTTGGTGATATTTGATGCCTTGTCGTGCTCAGGGTCTGAAAGCCAAAGTTGGCAGCTTGCTCGGAAAGCCAGCGGCGTAGCTGCAAATCATAAGAGCTACTCGAGCTACTGAAGTTTCCAATTGTCGCTTGTTGCCCAAGCGGACGCTGATGGGCACTTGCTTGCAGGCAGCTCGGAAGTTCAAAGGCCTGGCATGGCTCTTCATGGGGGTGCCATACTCGAAGTCTTTGCTTCACGATGATGTCACTTGGCAAACATCGACACTTGAGTCTTCCTCGATGTCTCGATTTTCTGTTGTGCAAGAAATTGAAACAACGGACCAAACTAGCCGAAGTTGTCTCCGACATGGTGGTGAACCGAGGAGCACAAGGTGTACAAGGAGAAGTTCCCCGACAACTTCCGATATGACTATGCTGTGAGCCGTGAGGACAAGAATGAAGCAGGGCAGAAGATGCACCTTCTCTGCAGAGACTTTGGAGTTTGTCAACCATGAAGCCTTGTTTTTGTGCTGCTGCTTGTTCCCTAAACATGTTGGAGTCATTTGGAGTCTATTGTTTCTGACATTCCGCTTGATATCCAGCAAAAAGTGGTAAGAAGCACTTCCGAGCATTCCACCTTCCCACAGCCAAGGTACATCCAAACCAAGATGGCAGAGTATGCGGATGCTTACCTACGACATCGCGGTGCTGCGAAGCGGTGCGTGACCGCACACGAAAGCGAGAATGTTTGGCAACAAAGTTTGTGCTGGGAATGGGAAGATGCCTCGCCTGGTTGGTACCAAAGAATGGGAAATGTGTCACTAAACAGCAGCACTATGGTTCCTTGCCTAGGATGAGCTGTGGGAGCTGATGCAAAACGAGAAGACCCACGTCTACATGTGTGGCCTTAAAGGTTGGATTCTTTTCATGGGTAGATTACACATGGACCTAAAATCACTGAGGAAAGGTAAATACATTACAATATGATGAGACGGTAGGCAGAAATCCTTGCAATATTCATGGCCAATTGTTCAAGAGGTATCACGAAGGCGTGTGCTAGATGCCGATGTTGTTCCACCTGATTCTTTTGCCATGACACACAGCAGTTGAGCTATGCTGTGGTGCTTGAGTGATTTGTTTTTGGGCTCGCGGAGTTTGCGCTGACTTGCTTTTGTTTATGCTGGGGCAAACTGTTTTTCATGAGGTCACGGCGCTTTCATTTCATGTGACAGGTGCAAGTGCTTCTTATCAGTTGTGTTGTGTGTGAGAGTTCCACAGGCATGGAAAGCGGCATGGCTGAATGCTTTGGGCCAATCGCAGAGAAGAACGGCAAGGCGTGGGGGACTGCCACTTAGGGCAGGTTTTGGAGTCTTGTGGATGCGTCTCAGTCAACATGTTTGAGTCTTGTGATGTGGAAGGTGTGGGCTGAATTTGCGAAGGCCATGAAGAAGGCCTGCATGCTTCTAAGGAGTTTGATGGCACCCACATTTCTAGCAAGGAACTGCGCAAAAGTTCCTTATAAGTACTTGAGTATACATCAGCAGTGTCGACCAAAGCTTGATGCCCCGGACATCGATGCAGGCTCCTGTGTCATAGCCCTGGAGATTGTTTAAAACATGGGTGGCTACGGTCACTAGTAGTAAGGCCAGGAGCCCCTAGTAGCTTCTTGTTCCTAGTAGCGATGCCACGAGCCCCTAGTAGTGTCCTTGCTCCTACCCCTCGCCATGTGAATGTCCAAACATGGGTGGCTACCGTCACTTGCTTACCAGGCTGACCGCTACCATGTGGAGGTCTACTGAGAGGTCCTCCAACAAAGCAACCCAATTTCAGAGACAGCCAGGGCACATCACACCTCGTTTTCATAGTAAATGTGTCAGCTCCTTTCTGTCTGCGAAGCGGATTCATGCGGCAATTTTTGGGCTGAGAAGGCTTTTTAACACAGCAAGATCAGCAAGAAGCAGACAGGCCAGGTGGGAATACAGTATTACAGTGCGATGGCGCTGCAGTGTGAGGCCTTCTTATCCTTCAAGCATCCAAACAAATTGGGTGCATTTTTTCACTATGGAATGACTGAATGACTAGCAGCCAGTGCGGCCGCTAGTTTCAGACAGCTTTGCGGCCAAGGTCAGCTTTTCTGGTTTGCAACAATGGAAAAATGGGTATGAGCTTGCATGTCTGTTTGGCCCGGCTCTCGTTCTACGTAGATGCTTAGTTTATGTTGGAATCTGGAAACCAAACAATTCTTAATTCAAGTGATCCACGATCAATGTTTTTGTACACTGTGGATTCACACTGCCTAGGCTAGATTTGCGCTGGTGTTTATTTCGGTGTGTTCACTGCTCGCAGAGAGGACCGGCCATCCACTGCTGGCCGCAGGTCCACTAGGCTTGGAGGGTGCAGAAAGGACCATGCCACAGTCGTTGAATGGGAAGTCAGGAAAAAACCACCGGTTTGTAGAACACAAGCCTCTACTTGCCCGGGCTGAATGGACACCTTTCAAACCCTGAGCAGGGTTAATTTTGCGAATGGAAGTGCAGCGACACGTACAGTGCAACTTGTACATATATATGTACCATATGTACTTTGGCTCAAGGATCAAGCGACTAGAAAAGGTGCGATTTCCGTTCCGACGCTACGCCGCTTATGGACCGTCAGTGATAGCTTCAAACTTCGCTGATTAAGATCCACTCGCAGGTTATCAGCCGTACGCGCTCTTTATAGCCGTACGAGCTACACGAGACCAAGAACAAGACTAGTCATTACAGAAACCTGCAATGTCAAGCTCAGGAGGAAATGGAAGCGAACCCTATTCATTCGCTGCTCCTGGTGGTCCCAACACCATTTCGTCACCAGACTCTAACAATGGGTACTGATTCATCAGCAAATGCTGACGTTATCACTATGCCTACTGGATCACAAATCTCGGAAAGATCCGTGCCACCGGCTCGGAATCTGACCGATCTTGCACCCGTAGGACCAAGAAGATCGATGAGAGCTACAACAAGATCTACATCGCCTATAACGTCTACCGCGAGATCCCCAAGAAGGAGTATAGAGAAGAGACGTGACGATGATAGAGGAACAAAAGAGCAAAGAAGAGAGATTCAGCTGGGTGAGGAATTGAGATCGGCGAGAAACGCATACAATTTTCTTCATGAAGAATATGAATGCATCCAAGCCGGATACTCACGACTACACCACGAGGCTGAAGTGGAGTTCAGGCAAATGTCTGACTACAACAGGAAGACGCAGGAACATCTACAAGAGATGACACAGGAAGATGAAGGAGCGACAATAAGAATTGAAGAGCTCGAACACAAGCTACGCTTGGCGGAATCGACAGCTGAACATATCTACATGAGATATCAAGAGCTTGCACAAGAAACTCATCAAGAACATTCAGAGCTTGAATCTGTGAAAGCAACGAAGGACAGAATGTCCCAAGAGCTTCAAGCAGCAATTGGACACATCCAAGAACAGAATGAATCTTCATTGGCGATCAATAGAAGATCAAAAGCCATTCAGGATGAGAACACAGCCTTCGTCGGAATAGCTGACCAGATACAAGCTAGAATGATTGCGCTACAGGATGAGAATGTCAACATGCACGAGGTGATCCAACACCAGAGAGAAGAACAATGGAACAGTGAGGTCAGGGAAAGACGTCTTCAACACAGTGTTCACTCATCTCAAGATCAGAGCAATCAGGAAGCTATGGTTATTGATCATCTACGAGGTCAACTAGCTATGGCACGTGGAGCTGAACTCAACGCGAGAGCGGAGATAGGAGAGATGGAAGTGGGCATGAGGATGGAGATGTTTGTATGCCAGACTGAAGTCTCTGCTAAAGAAATGGCAGAAATGAAGGCGAGCCACCATGAATACGAAGCAAACGTCGCAAAGGAGGTTATCGCAAAAGGAGAAATATTCAACAACGAAGTCATAGAAAGATCCATCCGTGAACGACAACAGTTGAAAGACGCCAACCTCGCTCTATCCGAAGCCAACGCACAGCTGAAAAGAGAGAATATGATGAGAGCTCCTATGTTCGGCGATGATGGTGCTGAAATTCAACAGAAGATCAGAGAACTGGAGAATGCACTATTGGAAAGCCAGAAGGAGACAAAGAATGTCATTATGGAAAATGCGAAATTAAAAGCAGAAGCACGAATGGCACCCATAGTCTCTCGGTACAGCAAGCGTCCTAGTTCCAGAGACCGCGGGTTACCAACCCACGCGTCCGAGGAAGATGAGATTCGGAACGCAAAAGAGGAGGCGAAGCACTACAAGGACGGGTACAATGAAATGACAGAGAGCCGAGATGAGATGTATGAATGGTATGCCGAAACCCACAATGAGTACGCCGAGGAAAGGGAGAAATCAATTGAGCTATCCGAGGCGAACAAATCATTGAGGGACAAGATTTCAGAAGCAGAAGCATCCTCTTCATCTCATCTTGCACCGGCAACCTCTACAATCATGAAAGTATCGAGGAAGGAAGAATCAAAGATAAACGTTCCGTCATGGCCCAGGATCAATGATCTTGGACTATGGAAGGCAAATCTCATTCAATCGATCATCATTGCGGCCAATGATTCAGATCAAGAGCCCTGGATCGACTGGATCAAAGAAGCCATGGACGATCCTGATCCGGACAAGTTTGTCGACTCAGGAGACCAAAGATTCCATTCAATCGATGCCAAACTCGGCCTAGCTCTTACCAAGGTCGTCATGGATGCGAAAGATGATGGTTCAGGTGTAGCTATGAAGTTGAGGACGAGGATCAATGCAAAAGGGAGAACATCAAGCCTCACAAAGGGAAGAGAGGTCCTAGCCCTGATCCTTATGAATTTCAAGACAACATCAAATGTGGAAGTCTTATATACTTCAATGCACCTCTACCAACTAGAGTATCAAGGAGACAAGAACTTATCGTTGTTCTTCCACACTTGGTTGGGATGAGATTCTGGCAGGAATGAAGCCCGTTGACGTCCCGAGCGACGAAACTCTTCGGGATCTCCTATGGAGAAAGATCAGGAACTCAAACCTCATGGCATACGACATCAGCGCCTACAACAGCATGAATGACGATGATGCCAAGAAGACATACAAACATCTACGTGATATGATCAGAAGGCACATCGAACGGCAAACTGAAGACAGGATGATCCTGGAAAAGGAGAAGGCAGTGAAGAATGTGGCCAATATCTTCAGAATCTCAAACCAGGCGGACCTGCTCCAAAACTGAAAGCTGCACCAGCTGATCCGAAGAAGAAACCAAAAGGGCAACAAGAACAGGTTGTCTCAGAAGACGCTGCTGCAGTGAAGCCAAAACCCAATCCCAAGAAGCATCCTGAAGACAAGAACAAAAAGGGAAAGGGGAAAGGTAAAGGTGATGGAAAGGATCGCAGCCGAAGTCCGAGTACAGACAAGAAGAAGATACCATGCAAATTCTTCGTGAAAGGTAACTGCACTATGGGGAAAGATTGCCCATTCAGTCACAAGAAACCCAGATCACCATCCAGAGGATCTTCTGTCGGAAAGAATGACAAGCCAGTATGTTGGATGTGGATTCGAGGAACTTGTGACAAAGGGAAGGATTGCAAGTTCTACCATGACCCAAAAGCCTCTCCTAAGAAAGGGATATCTGCACCAGCTGACTCAGGAGACGATAGGCCAAAGCCCAAGGCAAAACCCAAACCGAAGCCTAAGGCGAAGCCTGGAGCCCCAGCCATTGACGGTGAACTCTTCATGGACGAATCCGAAGATGAAGGGATTGCTGCATCCGCCAAGGCAAGAGAAGGAGGTGCAAAAGTATCCTTTGATGAAGAGACTTGCGAGATCATGTTGAACGAAGCGATCTACTCAGTCAGGGACAAATGGAAGGTAGTAGAAAGGAAACCTCTACGTCCAGACATCAAACGATACGATGAGAAAGAGCTCACCTGCTACACGAGGAAAGAACAAATCAGATTTGAAGAAAAGGTCGCAGAGGCAAGAGGCATATTGATGGTCCCCTACACTGAGATCAAGAGGGTCCGAATACCAGTTGGACCAAAGGGTGACCTAGCGGTCACTATGTCTTTTGACGAAGATGACGGCCTAGTTTTCCATCATAAAGTCATTCCTCATGTATGCGAGGGAAAGAAAGATCATGCAGACACAAAGACATTGTCTATTCCAGCCAAAGGGTCAAGAACAAAGTTCATCATGGACACAGGATGTGGGTATGATTTGATATCGAAAGGCAGAGCCAAGAAACTAGGTCTGGAAGTGAGAGAAAGCGACCAATCAATGTCATTCTATACCGCAAATGGAGTGACATCCACAAAGGGAGTCGCCGACATTCATTTCGACGAATTTGACTCTACCTACTCCCCATTCGTCCTAGATGAGTCTCCTTCAGTACTGTCTGTTGGAAAGAAATGCATGGAGGAAGGATACACATTCATATGGCCAGCCTGCGGCAACCCGTACATGGTTTCCCCGAATTACAAGAAAATCATGTTAGAAGTAGAGGGAAACATCCCATATATTGTCAAGGGCAGTGACTTCTGTACTCCCACCGACGATACAAGGGCGGAGATGATCGCAAGGTTCACCCTAGGAGAAGACGAAGCTGATTACCAATCGACTTTCATCAACTGTGATGTGGATCCTCAAGGAATCATGTGTGATGATGACGACCTTCCTGTGATTGAGCCTCCAAAAGTCAAAAGGCGAAAGAGGAATAAGAAGTTCAAGGCATCTCCTGGAGAAGAAGATGAGGTAGGATCAGATGTCGCCGGAGACAGTGAACCAGAAGCTGACGATGATGATGCAGATGACATCGAGGTGGATGTTGTTGACGGTGCAAGTAGAATGGTGAGAAGAGGAACTCTGAAAGCAGATGCCAGGAAAATCGAGCATCTACTCACACATCGTTACAAGAATCCCTACTGTGAGTCATGCATCAGAGCAAAGATGAAACACTTCAAGACGCATCGAGGAGCGTTCAAGAGAAAGCTCAAAGCTTTTGGAGATCTGGTTACCTTTGATTTTGTCGATACGAGGAACATCCTTGATCAAGGGATCAGTACTGATCGAGAGATCTTCGTCATTCGTGACAGGTACACAGGCGTCATATGGGCCTATCCGTCGAAAGAGAGGTTTACCAAGGACGTGGTCAATGCAATAAACCACTTCAAAGGATTGAAGAAGATCAAGATTGCTTATGCCGACAAAGCCCCAGAGTTTGAGACGGCTATGAAGCAGCTGAAGATCCCATTCGATCACTCTCTACCGAATCATCCTCAGAACAATTCTCTGGCGGAGAGGAACAATCAGTTCATTATGATGACAACCGCAACGTGTCTCTTGGAAGCGGGGTTACCGCCATGTTTCTG